TGACATTAGTTATTTTTTAGGCGTAGATAGATAGGAAACGGTTTTGAGAGATGATGAGCAAGATATCCGGTTTTGGAATTTGACGAGGAAAATTAGACCATAATGATAATTAAAGAAGGTAAAATATATTTGTTTTTACAAAACACCATTATGCCAAACAGGCCTGCATGCAGCCCAGCCGGGCCCACCGGCCACCGGCCACCCGTTTACTCACCCGCGCGGCGGCGCCCGCCTCCTTCCCGGCTTCCCCGGCGCCAAAACTTCTCAAATTTCTCCTGCGCGAGCGCCAAACCGGAGCCAAAACGAAACTAGCAGCGAACCCCGCGGCGGCAAGGCTAAAAAAAACGCGCAAAACCCCGAGCGCCGCTCGCCTCCCGCCATTTCCTTCTCAAATCTGCCTTATAAGCGCGCGCAGCCTTGGCAGCTCGACGCATCTTCGCCGCCGCTCAGGGCTCACCCACGCTCCGACCGATCCACGCGAAACCTACCTTCCTTCCTCCGGGAGACGATTCGACAGGGAGGGGAAAGAGGCAAGAGGAGCCATGGACGCTGCCAAGTCGGTAACGCCGGGCGCCGTGTCCCACATCCTGGCGCACCCGTCGACGGGCTCCGACGGCGCCGTGCCGGATCTCGTCGTCCAGGCCCTCGACCTCAAGTCCATCGGCACGGGCAGCCGGTTCAGGTCAGTTCTCACCTCCTCCCTTCCCTGGCCGCGCTGGATCTATTATCTTTGCTAGTTTTCGTTCCGTGGGGCGGGGGATCTGTTCTGTTCTTAGCACAGTTCTTATGGATCTTGTCAGCCGGTCTGACGAGCCTCCCCTTGTGTTCGGATCTGTTGTTACCTTGCAGTTTCATGGCAACCGACGGGAAGGATAAGATCAAGGCGATGCTCCCCACCAACTTCGCGTCGGAGGTCCACTCCGGCAATCTGAAGAACCTCGGCCTGATCCGCATCCTCGACTACACTTGCAACCTCGTCAAAGGCAACAATGACAAGTAAGTGTTTTCCATCCCCTTTCGTCACCATGAGCGGACTAATGTTGGCAACTGTTCCCGTATTCAGCGTTTCCCTCGGTTTCCTGAATCATGTGCTTTGTTTACCAGAGTCTTGATTGTCGTCAAATGCGAGCTTGTGTGCCAAGCGCTCGACACCGAGATCAACGGCGAGGCCAAGAAAGAGGACCCTCCAATTGTGCTGAAGCCCAAGGACGAAGGCGTGGTCGTGGCTGAGCAAGCAAATGCTCCCCCACTCGTGATGAAGCCCAAGCAGGAGGTGAAGTCCGCGTCCCAGATCGTGAATGAGCAGCGTGGAAAGTAAGTGCTTGCAATTGCAGTCCCTGTTCTTTGATGTTCTGGTTGAGTCTGTCGACGATTTAGATTTACAGTTCATTATTCTACTTCTGTGCGTCCAGTGCTGCTCCTGCTGCGCGCCTTTCCATGACAAGGAGGGTCCATCCTTTGATCACTCTGAACCCCTACCAGGGTAACTGGGTCATTAAGGTGCGGGTCACGAGCAAAGGCAACCTGAGAACCTACAGGAACGCTCGTGGAGAAGGCTGTGTCTTCAATGTAGAGCTCACTGATGAGGATGTAAGTTCTCTGATGTCACTGCTTTCATGTTTAAGTGCATTTTGTGAGTTGTCGTGGGTTCATGAGCTGATGTTCTCTGAATTTATGTATGCACAGGGCACCCAGATCCAGGCCACCATGTTTAATGAGGCTGCAAAGAAGTTCTATCCAATTTTTGAGCTGGGAAAGGTCTATTATGTCTCAAAAGGATCTCTTAGAATTGCCAACAAGCAGTTCAAGACTGTCCAAAATGACTATGAGATGTCACTAAACGAGAATGCTATTATTGAAGAAGCAGAGGGGGAAACTTTCATTCCGCAAGTGCAATACAACTTTGTCAAGATTGATCAGCTAGGATCATATGTTGGTGGCAGGGAGCTTGTAGGTATGTCAGAATTATTGGAATTAAGTTGGTTTTACTTCTTCAGGTTCAATGTAGTGTCTCACTGTTTTATGTATTACTTCAGATATTGTTGGTGTGGTTCAGAGTGTATCTCCAACACTCAGCGTTAGAAGAAAGATTGACAATGAGACAATACCAAAGCGTGACATTGTTTTAGCAGATGACTCGTACGTATCACTTGATCTTTTATACCTTGTTAATAGATCAGAATACAATCATTCAGTGATGTTGCTTATATTTTCCCTAATCACAGATATAAGTCCATAAAAAATGTCTCAAATTAATTCTCTTCAATTTTGCCATATCTATCTAAACTTTATATTTTTGTGATCTGAATTTAACATAGATTAATGATGAAAATAATAATAATAATTTCATAATCTATAATCCTTTCTATTTAAGATTTTTTTTATAGATATCATTTCTAATAAAGAAATTATCTGTTCCTAATTGACTCATTTCATTTCTTTGCAGTGGCAAAACTGTTAATATTTCTCTCTGGAATGATCTTGCTACTATGACTGGCCAAGAGCTTTTGGACATGGTTGACAGTTCTCCTGTCGTTGCGATAAAGAGCCTAAAAGTATCTCATTTCCAAGGTATGTCATCTAATCTCTGTTCAATCTTCTTCCTGGAAATCAGTAAGCTACTGAAAGTGCGTCGTGGTAACTGTGGTGCTGAAATTTGTCTTGTAGGTGTGTCTCTTTCAACTATAGGCAAAAGTACGCTCGCGATTAATCCAGACCTACCTGAGGCTCAGAATCTGAAATCATGGTATGTACTTCTCTCCTGAATGATGTGAGCTTGCTGTATGTTTTTTATCAGTATAGTATGCTTAGACTTGTACATAATTTGTCAAATAGGTATGACTCTGAAGGCAAAGATACTTCACTGGCACCAGTTGGTGCAGAAATGGGTGCTGCACGTGCTGGTGGCTTGAAGTCCATGTATTCTGATAGAGTTTTTCTGTCTCACATCACCAGTGATCCTGCTATGGGCCAGGAAAAGGTATGATCCTGAATATTCACTGAAATATGATACTATTCACTGCTATGGCCCCAGTTTGACTTGTTTTTGCTTTGCAGCCTGTTTTCTTCAGTTTGAATGCCATCATAAGCCACATCAAGCCTGACCAGAATATGTGGTACCGTGCTTGCAAGACCTGCAACAAGAAGGTGACTGAAGCTTTTGGATCTGGATACTGGTGTGAGCAATGCCAAAAGAACGACTCTGAATGCTCACTGAGGTAAAATTTGTTACCAGAAGCCTGCTACTGTTATCTATTTAGTGCCAAATCTGATTGTTTACCTGCATCCTTCAGATACATCATGGTCCTCAAGGTCTCTGATCCCACTGGTGAGGCATGGGTGTCCGTGTTCAACGAGCATGCCGAGAAGATCATTGGCTGCAGTGCTGACGAGCTTGATCGGATCAGGAAAGAGGTAAATTCTGCAATCTGAGTAGGGCAAATACTCTGGCTTGACAGCATTGAATTTCTGCTGTTTCCTTGTTTGTCTTATCCCTGATAGTGGGTTCGCCATTGTTGCAGGAGGGGGAGGACAGTTACGTTCTCAAGCTCAAGGAAGCCACCTGGGTTCCTCACCTGTTCCGCGTCAGCGTCACGCAGCATGAATACATGAACGAGAAAAGGCAGAGGATCACCGTGAGGAGTGAAGCACCGGTCGACTACGCAGCTGAATCCAAGTACCTGCTTGAAGAGATCGCGAAGATCACTGCTTGCTAGAAGATGCAATCTTTCTGGTGGTTCGTGAAGGAGGACTGGCCCCCGAGATGTTTCCCTTGCAAGGGTTTTGAGCTGTAGTAACTTTATTACTGTTCTGTGTTGCTCTCATTGGTCTTTAGCACTTCTGTAAGATATATATGTAGATGTTTGTTCACCTTGATGTCAAGCAAACAGATGCTATGACAGTTCCAAGCATGATGCATGAAGCCTTTGCAGAATTGCAGTTCCAAATTTCCGTGTCTCTGCAACTTTGAGCAAATAGTAAGGATGGCCGGAAATAGCGGGTTTGTGTTTGGGGATGGTTTTTCACTCACGGTTTTTGGGTTCGGGGCTCCGAAACCAATTGGGTTTGGTTTTCCATCCGTGGATATTCAATGGATATCCGAAATAAATCATTTGGAATTAAAACTCATGTTTTATAATATACTAATAATAATTTGTTTATTTAGATTATTAAATTTATTTAAAGTTGACTCATGAAAATATTTATTATTTGTTGCCTCTTGTTTATACATGTGAATATGTGTATATATATCCGTGGGTTTCGGGTATCCATTCGGGTTTCGGGTATCTGTGGGTTTGGTTTTGGTGATGGATTTCCACCCGAATCGGTTTTCGGGGTGGATTCGGGTTTCGATTTCGGGTTTTTGTTTTGGGTACACGGAGACTCCACCCGATCCGAACCCGACCCGTTGCCATCCTTAGCAAATAGCGAGGGTCAGGTCGCTGTGGCTAAGTTTTAGTTGTGTATTGTGTCAGCAATCAGATGTAGAAACCCTTCCCTGCTCCAAGTCGTATGTTAAAGTGCGCGTTCTACATCATTGTGCCATCTATTCAGTCTTTTGTAAGACGTTTCCGGGAATTGCTAGTGTCAGCTTATCGTGGATTCATACTTTCTTTAGCTAGCGGAATAAGCTTAACATGCTCCAGCCTCTACAGCTGAAATACATATGGATGGCGCACCCTTTTTTAACTACTGATCTAAGTTATTCAGGCAGTAAAGTGATTGGGAGCTATGTGTCTGCGTGAAATCATGGCCGCTAACACTCGCTATCGTGAGCTCCGTTTTCTGGATCTATACAAGAAAAAAAGAAGTTGCAGGACTAAATCACGTTTAGAAAGGATCAGAACATTATCAACAGGTTATATTACCATAATGCCCACCAATTCAATCGGGCAGAAGTAAGCACTGTACCACAAACACAATCTGACGATGAGACTAGTCTGACGCTAGGCTGAAGGCTGACTCTACAGAACACGTGCACCGGTCTGCTGGCGAAGGGTTCACAGGTTCGGGGTAGGGCTGACGACAATGTGTCGCAGCGGGTTATCCACCTTGCCAGCTCCGGCGTGCTCCACGAACTCCGAAGGAGTAAGGAAGCTTCCATGGCAGATGCATACGATTCTCACATCTCCTTTCTTGTATTTATACAGGAAGCCTTCAACCCTGTTGCTGTTGGGCAGCCCCTTGGTGAACACGCCCGGCATCTCCTGCATTATCCTCCTTTCCACGTCCCCCATGGAACCAAGGGTTGCTGTTCTGGGAGGCAAAGACGAAGGCGGTGGACTTGCTGCCGTCACGTTACTTATAGCTTCATCAGAGGAAGGAACGGATAATGACGGGCTGTGCTCCTTAGTGATGGCTGTTCCTAAAAAAATCAGGAATGAGTATGATATAGAGCTTAATGATAACCAAAAAAAAAAAAAAATCCATTGAAGGGAAGAACCACTAGAATAGAAAGTGTTCAATCATGCACAAACAAACAGCTCACATCTATAATAACTGAACAATATAAGAATCCAGCCCCCATCTATAAGAGCTGAACATTATAGAATTTTGAATCTTCCAGATTCACTTCTGCCATGAAATGTCTTGTGACTATTGAAAGGACGCAACAGAGATTGTAACACAACATAGCCTTTGTTTAGCGAATAACCACTAATATCAAATGTAAAAACTCTCGATGTATCAGACATATATAAGTTCTTATAAGATCGTAGACGCAAATACTAAATAGCATTGATCTTTGGGCCCAAAGTCCTAATTTAAGGGCAAATATCAATCCAGTTCATTCATGTATTACACCTGTGGTGCATTGGCAAGATTCATGTTTTTGGAAGCATGGGAAATGGATGCTGAGAATACCTAAACAGTGTACTTAACAAACAAAAGGGGATACCTTTGAAGGCTGAGTTTGGCTTCTTTCCCATTGCTGACAAACTATCTTGCGATGCAATTGTAGCCTGGTACTTTGGGGGAAGCCCCTTCACCAGATGCTTGCCACTGCTATGATTTTCGTTATTCATCACAACAGCTTCATCAGAACTTACTAATTTGTCAGCGTGTGCATTCATCTCTTCTGGAATCTGCCCAGCCGCTTCTTTTGAAGTGTTGCAAGTGAGAGAGTTCCTCCTCTCAATCCTTTTCTTCTTAACCTCGAGTCTCTTCAGACTCTGTGCTTCCTTACATTTCTTCCATTCATCATTACCAGCAGCCTCAATGACAGCAGGGAGTGAACTAGTCCTCATGAGTGTGCCTGCAATATTCAGTAAGTATTTACAGATATTGGGAATTTGCGGAAAGCTGTTGATGTTTATTTCAAGAAACACTGAGATATTCGATTTCTCAACATATGACTGTTACATTAAAACATGTATTCTTTCATTTACATTGGCATTATGCTTTACAAATCTATATATTAACTAAAAACCAATTACAAAAACTACAATGTTTTGAAAGTACTTTAGACACACATCTGTGTGTATTGCTTCTGTACATACACTCTTTAAATATTCATGGAAATATCAAATACTAAACTTCAAACTGTTACATCACGCAGGTTACCACTGATATTTTCTCAGAGATATCTGATGAAGAAATACACACCTATAACAGAATGACTGAATCAACAGAGTTTTATGCAATAAAATATTATGCCGGCTACTTAACACAGTTTTGCAAAATAATTCACAACTACCACCATTTACCAAAGCGATCACAATCGGCACTGCTAAGCACGGAATCTAAAAGCCAAATTAACTATCAAGGGTAGCAAATACTAAAGATAGTATAAACCCCACAAAGAGAAGCCGCATGCACCTTGCAATCTCTGCCCATCACCTCCCGAAGAGGCAGAGGAAGGGCTCCCGCTCGCCGGCAGCCTCGCCGCGTGTTCCACGCCGAGACCACCGCCATCACGGCAAGAACCCCATCCAGCATGCCCCTGCTGCCTCCCAACCTCCGACGCCTCGCCGGGACCGGCGACAGCAGCTCGTCGTCCATGGGGCCTTGGGCGCCGGCACTCCACCCGGCGGCGCGGCAAGATGGCGCCACGGATGACGGACGGGGAGCTTGTCCCCCTTCTGTCTAGCCCGAACTGCCGCCCGAGCGGCGATGAGGGTGAGCTCGAGCCTCCTCCTCCATCTGCTTCGCAGCAGCTGCTGCCCGCCCCTGCTCCGGTGGCAGCTCGTCTCCTTCCCAATCCCGCACAACAAGTCCCGCGAAAAACCCCCTCCATCGCAGCGCAAGCTTGTCTAAGGGAGCCTCGACCAAACGACAAGCGCTGCAAGACGGGCAAGAGCCGAGCGACGCCGCTGGAGCAACCATTCCCGGCGAACAAGAGGCGAGGGGCGGAGCAGAGAACACGGATGAGAGGCGATTTACATACAGTTGCACGGAGGAGGAGGAGGCCGCCATTGCAGAGGTGAGGCGCTGCCGCTTCTCCTCGCTGCGGCCTTGAGCGACTCGTGGGGAACAGGAGAGAGAGAGAGAGAGAGAGAGAGGAGGCAAAAGCTTCTGCTCTTTTTGGGCTGGTTGGTTTCGCTTTTGGGGCATGCGTTCCGCTGGGATGGTGAAGACGGCGGGCGGGCTTGCCTCCCCGGCGTGTGACGCGTGTTGATCTGGCGGACGCGACGCGCGGCGCGAGCTTGCGCTGGCACACAAGCATGTCACCATGGCGGGAGCCGAAGCGGGATGCGGTGGGCTCGCCGACCTCGGTTGGAGCTGAGCCGGTCGAGTCGTGGACGCGCGCCGTGACCGGTGGATGCCCAACACTCCAACAGGCTGGGCGGCAGGCCGACCGAATTTTTTACATTTTAGCTTTTTTTAAAGTTTCTCACGAATAGACTCCTGACGATTTTTTTTAGAAAATGGACCCTTAGCTCGGCGCCATTGATGCTGACGCCGAGCTAGGCGCCAGCGTCTCTGGCGCCGAGCTCCTGGGCACGGTGGATGACCTGCCAGAGGGTTCGGCGCCGAGGCGGCGATTTATCACATCACTGACATAGTACTGGCATGCAAGAAAGCACAACTCCACTCTATCTCCACCATCCATCTTATGACCGTTTGATCCAACGGCTGAGGTGAAGAGGCACACGGATCGCTGACATGGCACACTGAGAGGCCTCCATTCCTCCTCTCAACCTATAAATAACCACTCGCTACCTCTTATTCACACACATAACAAGAAAGAAGAACACTCATCAGCATTTTCTTTCGTTGCAGTACCAATGTCTGGAGGGTCGTCCAGAGGGAGAGGAAAGGGGAAGGGAACTACCTGAGGGTGGGAGGGTCCTCTTGGTCCCGATTTCTTTGAGGAAGCTTTTTATGAGAGGATCCCAGTTGAGAGCAAAAGTGATCTTACCAAAGAGGCACCACTGAGAGGATACGATAAAAGGAAAGAAGAGTGGCCAAAATGCATGCATGGTGAGGACTGCCTAGTGCAGATGTTCACCGAGAGAATAGATGGAGGTTGTCGTTTCTTCAAATGCCCACGAGCATGGGTAATTGCTATTACTATTTGTTTCTTCAATATGTTTCTCTTGTATATAACTTACACGACATACTTATTGTAGTCTTCCTTGGCCGAAGAAAACTGTTGGTTCAGTAGGTGGGTCGATCCTCGACCTATTTATCCACATGCGGAATACATTTACTACCTGCAGGACCGTATCTTCGATCTAGAAAGGGAAGTTAGCAGTGGTTACAAGGACGACGGACAGGACGACAACAACAATGGTGCCGATTCACATGAGACACTCTGCAATAATCCATATTACACCTGCCCTAACCACAAGAACAAGGGGCCTCCCCCGTCACCTCCGCCACCACCACCAACAACAACGGGAGGCTACTATGGAGAAGGTGCAACACAATTTGCTATGTGGCCACATTACTAGAATGACTTTATCTTTTTCACATACCACATCTATGTGTTTGTTGTTTGGTTTAATTACCTAAGGCATGTTAGGTTTAGTCGAAGGAAACTCTGTACCCAGGTTCGGTACATGTAGCCACATGCCATTTCATGTGTTTCGTGTGTTGATTTATATAATGCCATACGTCGTTAGGTTTTTCTTGCAGCACGTGTTCACATTTCAATACATCCGTATCATTAAGCGGAATATTAAGACCATAAATAATGAAAGCAACCACATAATGAAAAGTTCAATACTATGCCACATTACTGTGGTAGAACCGCCTAATCTAATGCCTCACAGGAGTGCTTGTCTTCCATTAGACACTAAGCACTCAAGGAAGAACACTAAATTACTCGGTTCCGTCGGGCACACCCCAGGGGAGAACCCGAAAGTCCACATTTTTGCCATCAGGATCACAAATGAGAGAATAAAGCTTACATCATTCTTAACCATTTCATACATCACTTTTAGTACAACATCAGAGTATAATAGTTATTGTATAACAGCGGTATGTAATCATATTATCAGAGTTATGAATAACTTAATATAACAGCGGAATATAAACATGTTAACAGAGTTATGACAATTTAAGTCAACAGTGGAATGTAAACATGTGATCAGGATTACAACGGAAATAAATATCTATTCATGACCTGTTGAAGTATTGATATATAACAACTATGACAACAGATTATAAACTTTCATTTATAAAGACATCTGGTGAGAGTTATAAATAAAAACTACGATCATAACGTAAAGGAATCCTTGCTGAGTCCACCAGGAGGTATCCACACACAAGGGTCAGCTCTAGCATCCACCTGTTACCTGCAACAGGGGGAATAAAACCCTGAGTACTCAATTGTACTCAGCAAGACTTACCCGACTGGAGAAAAGAAAAGACTCCATGGATATGCAAGGCCATCTGACTTGTGGGTTTATTGCATTTGCAGGAAGCATTACTAAGTGTGCGTCCTTATATTCGATTTTTATTAATAGCCGCATTGGTTCATTAACTAACCATTCCATGTAAGCACCTGTGCAACTTTCAAGCAGGTTGTAAGCAATCAGAATTCCTTTTTCTATTCCATCTTTCATCTTTTAGTTCTTACTACGATGCTAAACCGTAGACAAGCCGTACCGGATTTTCTGGCAATTCGCGAATCAATGCCCCCAGCTGGATACCCCGAAAACACACGCCCCGCTTGTACCCCAGGCACAAGCAGGACCAACCCATCACTCTCCTGTCCCGGCTGTCCAGGTCTCCGTCCAAACTGGGACTCCAAGCCTCCGTCCCTGAGTCTCGGACTCAGTGCGGTGCAAGGACCTCCTCCATCAAAATAAAACTCTTACAATCGGTCCGGAAAGAGCCAGATCCGCGACAAGAGAGCAACAAGTCTTCCAAGCGCCCATACCCAAGTAAGTGCTCGGGATAATAAGTATGTGACTTGCCTAGAGACTTATGCAACGATCGGTCCTTAACCAACACGGGCAGGGAAAGCAGTGTAACCAAGCTATGCCCCACGTCTACGGCGACACAACCTCTTACACACACCAATACCCAAACCATATCCTTGCCCAGTCACCATTTTCCTTTCCTCCCTTTTTATATTTTACAAGTGATAATAATACAGTAATATATTTCCTATATCTCGTGAGTGACAGGCAATCACTCGACTTCTACCGGAGTCCTGTAGCATAGCAATCTACACGATCCTGTCAGACTATTAAGACTCATAGGATAAAGATATATTTATGTAAGTGGCTTTCATTCAACTCCTTAAAATTTAGTGCACAAATATAATTTAAACAGCAGAAAAGTAGGAGTTATGCACCGGGGCTTGCCTGGGTAAAATATAACCAAAAGTTAGTATTTGCATCTTCAGATTCTCCACATCATCTAAATAGAAAGCCCATTGCATAATCTCCTGGAGAGAATACCATTACACCATCTTCGAATTTCCAATCATTCTTCAATTAATCCGTTGATCCATCATCGTACCTATATGATATGCATGCGGTGCAATGCAAAGATGTAATTAATCAACTGCAATTGTGACTATTAAAATACGACGTACGCCTCTCGAGTTAACGGGCTAATTCTAACGACGATCGTACTTAGGCTACATATCCATGTTGTCGGATAAGACGTTATTTCCCAACAATTATTTTAGTTATATAAACCCAAGTTGTTTCTTTATTTCATTCTATCGATTTAATCTTTATTCGGAATAGGGCATTATTATCTATTTAGCAAACTAATTATTTCGGAGCTACAAAATTTACAGTGAGTACCTAATATTGCTAGGAACCTACTGTAAAGATTTAAGATCCAATACTATTACCAATTTATCACGAGAATTTCTACAAGTTTATATTTTACAATATTAAGTATCTTAGATTAATTATATAGCTCCCAAAAATATTACCAAACTATGTGAACAAAATATACTAACAGGTAGAGCATGATTTTAGAAGACTAACAAAACTGGTTTCATAATTTTTGGACTCCTATACCATTTTATTTTAACTCTACAATTTTTCCGTGTAAGCCCTATAAATCGAAAAGGGCCGGCGGCTTGGCTCGCCCAAGAAACACACGCCTCGCCGCTGCTGACGCGCCCAACGTGTGTGGGGGGGCAGGCCCACGACCGATGGCCTGAGATCACGCCCAATGGCTGGCGAAGGCTGTCCAGCAACAATGCGACCCTAGGCGGTGGGTGCACGCGCCCCAGACGCACGGTGGTGTGTGGTGGTCCAATGGATCGCTGCTGCCCAGCAGCTTGAGCCAGTCTTGTGATGGCATGGATGCCCCAGGTCACAGTGGCACAACCCAGCAAACCGGAGCAGCCGGCCCACGCGGGCGAGCCCAGCGGCGGTGGCACCATTATGCGAATAAGCCCTTATACTTCTACCTAATCCACCCACCTGACCACAACACTATTCATTTAAGTCATGTATTTCACAACTAAAACCCTGTATAAAACATCTTATTGGACTCTTACCCTTCTTTCCTTTTCTTTTCACAAAAACAGAGCACCATGGGAGGGGCATGGCGATCGGCGGCTACGGCACAACGCGGCATGGTCCGCAGCGGTGTCGGCGGCCAAGCATCACGGCGTGGGACGCGGCAGTGGGGTCTTGCACGCTCGCGCACGGTGGTAGGGGCGAACCGGCTCGGCAGCGGAGTGCGGCGACGCTCGACCTAAGCGACTGAGGCGCTGGCTGAGCACGGAGATGGACGGCGCGGACGCCGGGGTGACCACGAGCCGGGTGCAGATGTATGCATGGCGGCTGCAGTGGTGGTGGGCTCGGCATGGCA